TAACAAGTGATTTTGAAGACCATGGCCCATATCAGACGCACCTTAGTCTCCAGAGAGACACCATTGCTCTTCAGTACTTTGGAGAGGTCCCTAACAGCAAACTTTCCCATGGCAATGCGCCTTTTAATTTCTTGGCTGCTGGTGCCATACTGTTGACTGTGGAGCCAAGCAAACTAAAGTTGTGTATGACATGGAGAAAATCTTGAATAATCCAGAAATTAGAGGGAATACACAAAAACATTGTGCCACAAAAGTAAATGATAAATGCTGAAATATTTCAGAAAGTAGCACATGATAGTCAATGGATATGAGGGAAGATGTTCAAACTGGACTGAAATTACTGGCAAAAAATAAGACCCCTGGAATTGATAGTAGACGAATTTACATGTTTCAGCTAACAGACTGGGATGTGCTAACCAGTCTATGCTAGGAAATTTGGAAAATAGCTACCTGGCCAACTAACTGGAAGAGATCCATATTTGTTTCCATTTACAAGAAAGGTGACCCAACAGAATGTGGAAATTACTGGGGGGGAAAATCCATGCAAAAAATATATGGCCGAAGATCATCCAAAAACAGCTAGAACAGTACACTGACAAGAGAATTGCCAGAAATTCGAGGCTGTAGCAGCAGGGAAATCCTTACTGACTGAAAACAGAGAATACCAGAGAATGTCTATCTGCGTTTTATTGACTATGGAAAGCCACTTGACAAAGTGAATAATAACAAACCATAGATAACACTGAGAAGACTGAGAATCCCAGAATACTTAATTATGTTCATATGAAACCTACACTTAGACCAAGAAGCTGTTGTCCAAACAGCACAAAGGAGCACTCCATAGTGTAAAATAAAGAAAAGTGTGCATCTGGGGATGATATCCTTTTTCCCCTACCTACTCAATCTATACGCTGGGCAAGTAATTCGAGAAACTGGACTTAATGTAGAAGAATGGGACATCAGGATTGGAGGAAGGTTCACCAATGGCCTGTGTTATACAAATGACACAACCTTGCTTGATCAAAGTGAGGAGGACTTGAAAGGCTTGCTGCACAAGATCAAGGACTACAGCCTTCAATATGGATTACATCTCAACATGCGGAAAATTGAAATTCTTACCACTGGGCTAGTAGGCAACATAATGATAGATGGAGAAAAGACTGAAATTGCCAGTGATTTCATCATACTTGGATCCACAAACAACACTCTAGTACTAGGAATCAGGGGATGTGTAGCATTAAGAAAGATTGCCCAAAGTCCTGAAGAGCAGCAATGTCATTTTAAAGACTAAAGTGTGCCTGATTCGGGTCAGAGTCTATTTAACCACTTGCTATGAATCTAAAAGCTGGACTATGAACAAGCATGACTAAAGAATTGATGCTTTTGAGATGTGGTGTAGCACAAGAGTACTGCGTATCCCATGGACTGCCAGAAGAACAGATATACTTTTGATTTTGTTTTTATATATAAATTATTTTTTATTATTGATTTAATGAAAGCTTACAGAAAGGTTGGATTTTGATTCATTCACTGTTGCACATTTTCCTCATTCCTTCTTTCTTCCCCTCACTCAGTCCACCTGCAGTGCACCTCTTTTTCCAGATTGTTGTCATACATGTGATGTTTAATCACAGATTCCTTTCAGACAGTTCTTCCCCTCATCTGTTCCAATGCAATGTTCATCATTTCTTCACTCTTTCCTCTTCTCACTTTCCATGAGAGTCCTATTTTATAACAATGGGATTATGCTATATTTGCCCTTTTATGATTGAGATATTTCACTCAGCATAATGTCTTCCAGACTCATCCATATTGTGTAATGTTATACAAGCTCATTGTTTTCCAATGTTGCATAATGCAATTATTCAATTGTGTGAATATACCACATATTTTCTATCCATTCATTTGTTGATGGGCACAAACATGCATGCTTTAGAGAAAGTGCAGCAAAAGTGGTCGGTGGAGGCAAGAATGGCAAAACTTGGTCGCAGATATTTGAGGCATGTTGTTTGGAAAGGCTGTTCCTTGCAGAGTGACATCATGTTTGGAAAACTGCGGGGTCTGTGAAAGAGGGGAAGATCCTCAACCAAGTGGATTGATATAGTGCTTTGGCAGTGGGTTCAAGTATATTATATTTGACAAGGATAGCACATGATAAGACAGGATTCTTACCTATTGCCCATTGGGTCCCTCCCTATGTGTCTTCCTTGACTTGTTGGCTCCTAACTACAACAACTTAAAATAGATAACAGTACCCACATTTTAAGTAAATATAGTGAACAAAATTCATGACTTGCCACTGTTGTTAGGTGCCATCATCGAGCTGGTTCTGTCTCATCATGAAAAACCCCTACCCAATGCTTTGCAGTCCTCAAGTCTTTGCTGTGTTTAAGCCCCTAATCAACCTATTTTGATGAAGGTCTTCCTTTTATTGTTGTACCTTTGATTTACCAAGAATGATGTGTTTTCTCAGGAATTATGCTCCCTCTTAATTAAGTATGTGTAATAAAGTCTCACCACCCTTATTTCTAAGGAACTCTCAGGCTGCACTGCTTTCAAAATACATTTGTTCTTTTAGGAGTACACAGTATATACAATATTTTCCACTAACACCACATTTCAAAAGCATCAGTTCAATCCTCCTTATTCACTGTTCCACTTATACATGCTTTGAAAACATTATGGTTTTGGTGAGCTATACCTTAGTGGTTAAAATTACAACCTTGCCCTTTGGTACTTTAAAGAGATCCTTGACAAGATTACATTCACTAGTGTCCAGTTTGATGATTATGGTGGGTTGAGAAGATCTGGTTTAGCCTTAAATATAATTTATTTGGGGAAAATTGTGTATAATTGAGTTTAAATAGCTAATTCTCATTCCTTTTAACTAATGGTACAATTTGGGTAAAATACAGCAGCCAAAATTTATTTTCCAAAATATTTATAACACAAGATACTTAAGATCTCCATTACCTGGTCAAGCATTGAGTATGGGTTTTCTGCATTGAAGTCAAGAGGAGCACAGCATCTAAATCTTTCTCTGAACTCAGCCTGTTTTTCCTGATGAACACAGAGGGGGGGAAATGAATTTCAGGTAACAGAGAGAAAAGAATATGAATTTCAAAGAAAAATCTTCCATTACATTTATAAAATTTTTCTCTTAAAAAAAAAAAAGACAACCCAACAAAACAAAAGCTTACATCAAACAAAATGCATTTCTTCCGTATAAGAGAAACCTCCACGTTTTGGAGAGGTGAAACTTCATGTCTGATGATTGCAGCAGTCTTTTTGGTAAATTCCCACCTTTCAGGCAATTCCTACAAAAAACAAATGTGCAAAGTAGGAGGCTGTCACAATTCTTCAAACAAGTCAATTTTTATAAGATTAAAAAATTCTACTTTCTTTATGCTAGGTCATGGTATCTTTTAGCTTTTTATGTAAGATAAGGCGTTTATCCAGAAAAGATCACAGAGATTAAGGTTTAGAACAAAGCTATCTTCAGATGGGCCTCCTGGCACCTCTGTATTAGTGTTTTTCCAAGCACATACCAGAATTCTTTTCATCTCAAACAAATTCTCTGAAAATAAAGGTTATAAGTCTCCAACTTGTGCTACTGGAATAAAATGAAAGAGTTCTGGAAACTACCTTGATAATCTATAACAACTAGAAGGGGGTCCCTGAGTGATACAACCTGTTAAGCACTCAACTCACTCAGTGGCATCTTAGAAAAGCAAAAGGGATTGGTTTCCCAAAGACCACAACCTTGAAAACGCTAGGGAACAGTTCTATTCTGTTATCATACGTCAGGATTGACCTTACAACTAACAGCAGCAAGTAGGAATAGAAGAGAGCCATGTGTTGGAATTTATCAAGACAGAAAGAAATGCTTTGAATCCAGCGAGGCTGCAATGAAAATGTGAATTAATCCCAAGTTCCTACTTCCCTCTGCCTCCCAAAGCTGCATGCCTACTTTTTTCTTTTAAGGTTTTTTTTTCTACTAGTTTATTTACAAAATTCAAATACATTGTTTTCAAGAACTTTTTTTTTTTTTTTCATTTTCCTCACCCCCCTATACCCATCAAATTGCACAACCTCATGATTAGTCGCCCCCTCCCCCAGCACATCCTTTTAATAGACAGTTTGATTGTTTACACTGGGTTTGTGTTACATGCCTAGGATTTCTAAGTGATCAAAGCAAAGCCAAGCAAAGGTTAATTCCTATACTTGATACAGGACAAACACAGCAATAAATAGTTCAGGTAGCAGCTCAACTCCACTCTCCCTGGCTACAATGCAAACAGGACAAAGGCAAGTCATTGTCTTTGAAGAGCAGTTGTGCGTAATTACTGTTGAAAGGCATTCCTGGTATCTAGACTAACAAAGCATTGTTTCTATGGGTCATCTCCAGGACACTGAATGGCTTTGTCATCCAAGCCAGGAGACTCCACCTGAGTAGCTGAAGTGCAGAATCAAAGACTCCAAAGGTTATTCTGTAATCCTTGATAAATATTTGATGAATGATGGCAGGAACTGCTAATTATGAAGAGTGCACTGGGCTAAGTACAAACTGTACTCTACATGGCAAAGGAGGTGCTACAAAGGAAAAAGCATATTCTTTGATTGAAATGACTTTCTAGCCTGCCAGAGCAAATGAGAGGCACACACAGTAACTATTTTACAAGACAGAATGTATTGACATCCATCAGGAGGTCCATGTGTCATGGATTTAAAAAAGAGTAAGGCAGTAACATAGTGTTAGGATAAGAACTCCAAGCCATGTTAGCAACATGAGAGCTGTGCTTGAAACCCAACTGTTCTTCCACCTTCGGCTTTTGTTTCTCATCTCATCAAGTTTCTGCAGCTTCTCTGTCACGGTGGATTTCCAATTCCATCCTAGGGACCCAAAATATCTCGAGAATATCTCTTTAGGGACCACAGTTACTTCTCTCCCACAGCAGGTCTTCTTTTGCCTGTTTTATCTTTGGGGATTACAAATAAGCTTGCATCCCAAGGAGGAAAAATACACCAAAGACCAAAAGATCAGATGATCTCCAAAGTCTCTTCAACTGACATAATCCACAGTAGGAGGCAGTAACTGAAGCTGAGGCTAACAGAATGGGTAGGCTCAGAGATTATGGCAAAATCTGGAGATGCTCTGCAGTTAGGCCTGGGGTGAGAGTGTGGGCTGTTATGGAAACTGGCCAATGATGGAAGGTTACGGATAGTCAGTCAATGTTTTTGAACAGGAAAGTGTCTTGATGAGATCTATAGATTAGAAGGTTTCAATTTACTTCAAAGTATATAGTAGACTAACTAAAGTGAGAAGTTATTGCTGTGGTCGAAGGAAGAATGCAGCACTGCATTTAAATGGGTATAGCAGGAATGGAATGGAAGCATTGGACTAAAAGTGCTTTGCATCAAGAGACCTCCTTACTGGTAATAAACCCCATGGCTTTGAGAAAGAATAAACTATTTCTAAGTAAAGCCACATTTAAGTGTGTTTTAGCAAAGAAACAACCACAGAAAAGTACATGGAAATTTGATAGCTAATCTTAATATCTTAATGTAGGAGAAGCTGATAGTAATTATCACAAGTTACTTTAATTAAAATAAAATAGAATAGAAAACCTAAATGATCTTGGATTTGACAATGCTTTTATACATTGACACCAAAATGGAAATAGATAAATTAGGCTTTGTTAAGTTAAAAATTTTTGAGTATCAAAGGACACTCTCAAGAGAAGGAAACCCACAGAGGAAATGGAAGAAAATATCTGGAAATTATCTGGTAAGAGCTTAATTTCCAGAACATATGAATAACATAGAAATAATAATAAAAAACAAATTAAAAATTCAAAAGGAGGCAAAGGACTTGAATAGCTATGTCTCAAAAAATTATTCATGAGCTCAGTAAGCACACAAAAAAAGATACTCTCATTAAGGAAATGTCAATCAAAACCATAATTAAATATTACTTTGCAAATACTGTGACAGCTCTAACAAAAACAAAAAAAAATTACAAGTTTTGGCAAGGATTCCGAAACATTTGATCTTTTTACATAGCTGATGGGAATACGGTACAACTTTAAAATAGTTTAAAACAGTCTGTTTATTCCTCAAAAAAGAATTACAAAAAAAAATAATTACTCAGAAATAGAATTACCAAATGACCCAGCAATTCCACTCCTAGATAAACACACACACACACACACACACAAAAAGATTCAGAACAAATGCTTTTATACAAATATTCCTTGCTTCATAGCCTCACCCTTCACAAAAAAGATAGAAACTACCCAAATTTCCACCAATGGCTGAATGGATAAACAAACTATTGTTATGTTTCCACAGTGGTATCTAGATTCAAGTCAGATTTTCTTTATTAACATGAGCATGATATGATCTCAAAGCTGACAGGCAATGTTCAATGAAACAGAGCCTTGATGTTTTGTCATGTGTGAAAGTGTTGGTTAATGAACAATAAACCAAAAAAAAAACACCAAAAACAAAACCAAAACTCAGTTTAGAGGCTATTACTAAATACCTTCAAGCAAGCAATAGCACAATGATTATGAGGTAGTACATTAGCTAAAGCAGCGCTGGTGTGTTAGTGGTATGAAGTTGCGCTGCCAGCTCAAAGGCACACAGTTCAAATGCACCAGCTGCTCCATGGTAGAAAAATGGGCACTGTCCTCCTGTGCAATTTACTGCCTCTGAAAACCCACTGGAGGGTAAGCTATAAGTTGGTTCTGACCCTACGGTCACACAAAACAATAACATTTTGGCATGAAACAATTAGATGCAAGTGTGGATTGGCTTTTTAAAAGGTTCTCAATCTCTTCACACTTCAGATGCTTAGATTGTAAAATGAAAGCGTGTCTATGACATAGATCTCCTCCAATTAAGATTTATAACTTTGTAAATAAGTTGGAGGGGCAGTATGAGGTGGTGCTACTACTCAGCGTCAGTGAAATTAGGCAAGCCATCATGAAGTTGTAGTAGGAGTAGGATGGTAAAGTGCTTGCCTGAAGAAAATGCTCAGTATTTGGTAATGACCCTTATTTCTCCTCTATACTTACCTCCAGCTGAACATAGACTTGTTCAGGCAGCTTCTGGCCATAGCTTTCCAAGAGTGTGATAGTTTCTTTCAGTGGCTCAAAGAGTTCATCAGTGGTTCTCTGTCGGCTCCTCACAGCCAAAAGATGCCCCATGATCGTAACTAAACCATCGTGGTCCCCTTCACTTAACTCTCCTTGAAGTCCTGCATCTGTCTCCTTTATAAATTCTTGTAGCTCATTCAGACTATCAAATACACACAGAAAATAACATAGATATGCAGACACAAATCAGTACATTAAAATTTTCATCATCTAAAACTTCTGATTGAAACTTATTCTTTCCATTATTGTTGTTGTGTACCATTGAGTTGGAACCAACCCATAGCTGGCCATCTAGTGGGTTTTCAGAGGCAGTGACACAGAAAGAGACTGCCCATCCTTCTACTGTGCAGCATCTGATGGACTCAAACCATGTGCCTTTGGGATTATAGTACAGCTTTTTACCACAGGACTACCAGGGCATCCTTATAATTTCATTATACATCTACAGAAAGATTATTTGCAACTTCTGTTATAAAATTGACAGTTCAAATGGTGACCTGGCCTGGGAGGACTGGAGCACTATCTTTGCCAGGGAGCAGCAAAATTGTACACTGATAAAGAACTGCCAGAAGTTCAAGTTAGAACTTGAAGCAGTGGTACCATGGCTATTATTGCTGATGTCAGATGGGTCGTGGCTAACAGCAGAGAATATGAGAAGAATGTCTATCTGTGTTTTATTAACTATGCAAAGGCATCTAACTGTGTGGATCATAACAAAAACTATGGCTAACCTTGAGAAGAGATGAAGGGAAGAAATATTGAAGTAAAAATGATGAGCAGAAGATTTGAAAGGGCATTCCAGGAGACAAAGCAAAATATTACAATGGAATGCACAAAGATCTGGGGTTTAAGAATGAAAAAGAAAGAATTCATTTGGCATTTCTCAAACTGAGAAACAAATTCAAGCCTTGAGTTGCATTACTGAGAGACACTATGGGAAACATCTTGATTGATCCAGGAACCATCAAAAGAAGGTGGTGAAAATACATGGAGTCAGTGTATAAAAAAGGAAGTGATTGACACTGAACTATTTCAGGAAGTAGCATATGATAAAGAGTAAATGGTGATAAAGGAAGAGGATCAGCGGAATTGAAGGCACTGGAAAAGATTAAGGCCCAAGAGTCAATGTGATACCAATTGGCATATTCCAAGTAAGAGATGCACTCTTGGACATACTCACCAACCTGTGCCAGGAAATCTGGAAGACAGTTACCTGGCAAACTGACTGGAAGAGATCCATAATTTTTTCCATGCCTAAGACAGGTGATCCAATAGGATGTGGAAATTATTGAACAATATAATTAATATCACATTGTTCTGGGAATTCCAGAACACTTAATTATGCTTATACAAATCAATACCTAGAACAAAAAGCTATTGTCCAAACAGAGCAAGAAAATACTGCATGGTTTAAAATTAAGAAAGATGTGTGTCAGGGCTGTATCCTCTTTCTATACCTATTCAATCTGAATGCTGAGCAAATCATTTGAGAAGCTGGGCTTTATATGAAGAAGAGTGTGGCATCAAGATTGGAAGAAGGCTCCTAAATAACCTGTGTTATGCCGGTGACACAAGCTTGCTTGCTAAAGTGAGGTGAACCTGAAGCACTTGGTGCAGAAGATCAAGGACTGAAGCGTTCAGTATAGATTACATATTAACGTCAAGAAAACAAACAAATCTCACCTCTATGACAACAGGCAACATCAAGATAAATAGAGAGAAAAGACTGAACTTTCAACTATTTCACCCTGCTTGGATCCAGAGTCAAAACCCTTAATACCAGCAGTCAGGAAATATGGAAACATATAGCAATGGGAATGCTGTGGTGAGGGACCTCTCAAAAGTCCTGAAGAAAATGATATGAGTTTAAAGATTAAGGAGCACTAGATTCAAGCCACAGAATTCCAATCACGTATTCATCTGAGAGCTAGGCAATCAATAAGAATGACAGGAGAAGAATGAATGCATTTGAGTTGTGGTTTTAGAGAAGAGTGCTGAATATCCCATGATCTGTTAAAAGAATCAACAGATACAGCTTGGGAAAAGTGCAACAAGACTGTTCCTTGGGAGCAAAGATGATGAAGCTTTCAGTTTGGACATATGGTTAAGAGAGGCTATTCCCTGAAAGGGACCTCATACTTGGAAAGGTGGGGGTCAGCAAAGGAGAGGAAAACCTTCAATGAGATGGACTGAGAGAGTAGCTGTGCAAAGGATTGAAACGTGTTGAGGAGAAGGATGGTGCAAGATAGGACTGAGTTCAGATCTGTTCATAATGTCGTTGTGAGTCATGCTCAACTTGATGGTACTTAATGACAACAATGGTGGACTAGTGGACACAGCGTTGCACTGTCAACTCAAAGATGGGTAGTTCAAACGCAGAAGCTGCTGTTTGTGAGAAAGATGAGCACTCTCCTTTCATGAGATTTACATCTTCTGAAAAGCTGCTGGTGAGTCATCCATGAGTCAGTTCCAACTTGACAGCAATGAATTCTTGGAGTTAAGGTTTCTAAATGCAATTATTTTTTTCAAGCAATGAAGTATTGATAATTAATGATTCCAAATACCAGAGTACAAAAGACTACCTGTCAGAGACAAATCTCAAAAGGTGCTCCTGAAACAGCCAGCTCCATTTCTTGATAATGTTCAGCAAGCTCACTTTGAAAGGCTTCATGTCCACCTTGAGCCAACCATCAAAGACTCTGAAGTCATCAAACTTGCTCATCTGAACATACAGAGCCTCATATATATCAATCTAGAATTAAAAAAGAAACAGACAATAAACTGAAGCAATTTAATCCAAAGCCAACTGCAGCATCAATTGCTAAGGTTCTTCCAGACCTGTTCTTTGAATTGCTCGATAGTTGGTGGTTGCCCAGGGATTTCTTCATTTGGACGTGCATCAGTTTCCTCAGACGTTAAAGCGTGACCATACAGGAGAAAATGCTTCATAAATTCAGCTCGCTCATCCACCCAGAGGTAAGCATAGGCGTCCAGAGAGGTTCTGAAGTCTAAGACTTTTTTTATGACATCTGCCACTCTGTTCATTATCTCTTGCCTTGCCTCTGCCAGGCCTAACATGTTATCCATATCTGTCTAGATGAAAAGAAAAGAAAATGTTTCTTGAGAGTAGCCTTGTGTTACAATTACTTGGGAAGTTAACATTATCTAGGCAACTGTTGAAAGGAAAAACATTTTGAACAAAATAAAAAAAAAATGTTACCTCAAGTTTTTTTCCTTGTGCTTCCCACTACCCCAATTTAGTTTTGAATAGTTGAAATAAAAGCTAATTTACATACAAGCTATAAAGTTATTTAATTTATATAAAAGCTATTTACATAAGCAGAGAGAGAGAGAACAAAAAGCTTATTTAGTGGCTACCAGGAATGGAGATATTGTGGAAAGGAGGTATTATTGCATAGGGGGCAATGAATTTATGTTCATCATGGTAGACTAATTCAGAAAAGAATCATGATAATGGTAACACACCATGAAGAATGGACTTAATGTCACTGAATAATACAGACCAAAAAAAAACACATACGTAAATTAGCAAATAGTTTCTTGTATATAATTTTACCACTTTTTACCCCAAAATAAACAAGTTAATACCTACTAACTAAAAAAATACCTGATAATTTGCTATCTCTAGGTGGGATGCTACTCTCTGCATCTGAGCAGACATCCTGAAACTACTGCATAGCATTTCTTCCACCAGATCATAGAATCCATCGCCAGCCTCTCTTTCTAAAGATGGCTTGAACACAATCTCGGGGGGCATTAAGATCATCTGAACTTGAAAAAATGGTGCAGGCTTCAACTGGTTCACTGTATTTGTCAGAAAGAAATCCAAGTCGTGCATTATAGCTTGAAAAAAGCCTTCCACCACGATGTCATCTATGAATTCTACATAAATCTTCCAGATGTCCAGAGCAGGATCGGCTTTGAAGAGTTTTCGATTTTCCTACAAATGGAAAAAATATTATTTTATGAGTATAAACTATAGAGAAAAGGGTGGGGGGAGCCTTGCATTTAAGTAGCTGGCTGAAGAAGGGACTGCATATTTGTGACAGCACATGAACATGCTTCAGACAGCAGCTCTAGGCAACAGAGCCCCAAGCTAGATGGCAAAGAACAAAGCAAGACTATAAAACCTTAAGTTTATTTACGAGGTAAGTCCAGAGTCATTCTTTAGGAGAAAAAGCATGATGATGATGATTGTTGTTGCATACTGTCAAGTTGGAATCAATTCATAGCTGACCCTCCAGCAGGTTTTCAGAGGCTATAGATCACAGAGGAGACTGGCCATCATTTTCCTGTAGAGTAGCTTATGAGTTTGAACTGTGTGCCTTTAGATTGGTTACATAGCTCTGTACCACTAGGTCACCAGAGCTTCCTAACATGAAGATTACTGTCCTCAAATACAGAGAAAAAAAATCTTCTCAATGAATTTTAACTAGATTGGATCTTGGCTATAATTCTTGCTCTATCCTTAATTCTACATGGCTTTGACCTTTGTCTCCCAGGATCTTGCCTATAAATAAACTAGTCCATAATAGGACACTGCTCTGGAATATTTGGAGATATACAACTGTCACTAACCCAGCGAAGCACTATGTGCTCTGTGTTACTCTTAGAGAAACAGACTTTACTAAGTCTGCTTAACTTGGTTTAACTCAATTGTTTCCAAGAAGAGAATTTCTGGCTCTTATTTTCATTCAGATTAAAGGTCAATGTCCTCATAAAGGCCTATCAATCCTTTGAGGTATGATCCTAATTCTTTCCCAACTCAATCCTCCAGCTTTTGCTTCAGCTGTGGTCTCCTGCAGACTCTGGGTGGTGGTGGTGGTGGTGGTGTTTTTATGTGTCATCAAGTCTCCTGTGACTCAGTGCAACCCTATGCACAACAGCTCTGAAAGCCCACCCTGTCCTGAGCCAGTCTCACTGACTCTGACACATCTATCTACCCCCATTGCCCTAGTTACTGTATCAATCTATCTCATCCAGGGTTTTCATCTCCTGTGCTGTCCCTCCACCCTTCTGAGCGTGATGTCTATCTCCAAGGATCAATCACTCTTGGCCACATGCCCTAAGTATGAGAGACAGAGCTGCAAAATTTTAGCCTCCAAGGAGAAACTTGGTTTCACCCACCCTAAGATAGACCTATTTGTTTTCTTCACAGTCCATGGTATGTTCAAGACTCAATTGATGTTCAAGCATCAATTCTTCTTCTGTCATCCTTAGTCTTTGTCCAGCTCTCTGATACATAGCAAATAATTGCGAAGACCATAGCCTGGGTCAGGCATACCTTTGTCTCTAGACTGACATTGTTCCTCAGTACTGTGAAGTCCCTGACATATTTGTCTAATGCAATTCACCTTTTGACATCCTGACGGTTGGTACAAAGAGTGTGATTGTGGAGCCAAGTAAGCGGTAATTGCTAACAACTTCAATCTCTTCTCCATCCATCATGGTGCAGCCAAATGGACAATTGGTGAACATCTTTGTCTTCTTGATGTTGAGCTTCAATCCATATTGAAGACTACAGTTCTTGATCTTCTGCAGCAAGTGTGTCAGGTCCTCCTTGGTTTCAGCAAGCAGGGTTGTGTCATGTGCATAACACAATCTGTTGATAAGTCTTTCTACAACCTTGATGCCAAATTCCTCTTCATAAAGCCTAGCCTCCCAAATGATCTGTTCTGCACATAGATTGAAAAGGTATGGAGACATGGATAGGAAGACTCAATGTTGTGAAAATGGCAATACTACCAAAAGCAATTTACACATTTAATGCAATCCCAATACAAATACCAACCCCA